TCGTTTGTTTGGTCAACATCCTAACAGACAGCAAGCTATCCCAGGGGGCACATGAGTTTAATTCTTTGTAGACCTGGACAGAGCTTGATTTTTGTTGAACCAATCTGAACTTATATCAGGAAATTCTGCCTGGCGGCACACTTTCTAAGTATTGGCAGCTGTTTGTCCGGGGTTGGCTGGTGATGTGGAGAGGCAAAGAGCAGGTGTTGTGAGGGTAAGGACTCAGGGAGGTCAAGAGGTCAGAATTTATGAGACAGGGTACCAAGATGGTGGGGCTCCACTGAGGGGGGGGGAAGAGGCGGGGTGAGAGCACTCTGGAGAGCTGAAGACGATTCCTCAGAACTCAGCCAGTTCTGATCTGTGCATACTAGTGAAGAAAGCACCCAAGGCTGAGGAAAGAGTCCTGTGAAAGGTTAGAGAGAAAATTCTTAGAGCTCGCAGAAGCCCAGAAATAGATCCTGTTCCCAGCAGCTAGAGGAGAAATACCTCATAATTCATCAGGATCAAGGAGAGTGATCAGGAGGGATTTTCCTTGGTAGGATAGTATAATTATTCTGAAACTAATTGCTGGTCAGTGCCTTCACAATAAAGCACAAGACCCAAAGTGATCAAACTTTTCCTAAGCAACACAACTTTATCCAGGAATAAAGCTCCAAAATGTTATAGAAACAAAATACTGTAGATCTGGGACCCACATCACTTCTTGGCCTTTTGGCTAAGATCAAATCTAGTATTTAGGACCCACAAAAGAAAAATTCATAATGTATGACAACTGAAATATTTCTCAGGCATGTAAAGAAGCAGGAGCACACAAACTATAATGAAGAGAAGGTTCTGATCCATTAATACCAACCAAGATATGGCAGATGATGGAGAATTGATTAACAAGGGTATTAAAATACTTAGAACTGCTTTATTAATATGCTTAAAAAGTAGAAGAATAACTAAACATACCAACAAGATATAATGAAGATAAAAATGACCTAAATAAACATTCTAGAGATTAAAATCTCAATGTCTGAAATGAAAAATACTTTGTTACAATTAAGAGTAAAATAAATACTACCCTTCAGAAAAGATTAGTGACACAAAAGTTCATGACAGCATTATGGTAGCCAAACACTTATTTTGATTCATTTGATTCATGGAAAAACAAAATATGGTGTATCCATACAGTGGAATATTATTCAGCCACAAAAGGAAAGGAATACTGTTTCATACTATGACAGTTAATCTTTGAAAACACTATGTTAAGTAAAATGAACAAACATAACAGGCTACATATTAAATGATTCCATTTGAATGAAATGTCCAGGATAGGCACATTTATAAAACAGAGAACAAAAGAGCTTCAGAATGTGGCTGGTCACCAGAGAGACCAAGCCATGTTTAGCAGTTTTGAACACCCCTGCAGAGGTAAGAGGGGCTAGAGACTGTTAATAACCACTTATTCTTATGCATGAAGCTTCCATAAACACCTCTAAACTATGTGGTTTGGGGAGCTTCTGGGTTGGTTAAACATATCCATGTGGCACACCCCAACTCCAAGAGGACAGAGACTTCTATGTTTGGGGCCTTTCTGAATCTCAACTTACGTACTTGTTCATTTATATCCTTTATAATACACTGACAAACATAAGTAAAATGTACCTTTGATTTCCATAAGCTGTCATAGCAAATTATCAGACTAACCTAAAGAGGGAGTTGTGGGTGTCTCCAGTTTATAGCCATATTGGGGACCAATTGACAATTGAATTGGGCGGTCCCATGGCACTGAGCCTTTAATTTATCAGTTCTATGATGACTCTGGGTAGTTAGTGTCAGAATTGAATTAAAACATGAGAATACACTCAGTGGTATTCAGAGAGAAGTGGAGAATTTCTGGTGTGGAAAACCTACATGCTTGGTGTCAGAAGTGTGAGCAGACGAATAGGATTTTCTTTTATCTTCTAAAGTATATTTTCCAGCCATGATGGAATTATATATTAGAAATCAATGACAGAAGAATTTATGTAAAGTTTACAAATATTTGTGATCAGAAAACACAATTCAAAATAATCACATACAAGAATATAAAAGGGAAATTTGAAAATATTTTGAATTTAGGAAAGTAACCACTTGACTCAACTATTCCAGTTCTATATATTTACTCAAGGGAAATGAAAGCAGTTGTCAGTACCAAGTCTTGTATAAATATAACATATTACTTATAATGGGCAACAGAAAAAATCTTCAAATGTCTATCTACAAGTACTGTATATGGATAATGTATGATAATACACATAATACTATGTACCAATAAAAAGGTGTGAACTATTGTTATAGACATCAAAGTTAGGTAAAAATATTCTAGGCAGTCAGATAGGGGTAGGTCCTCGAAGAAGTCAGTACAGAGGATGAAAATATATTACAACAGTGGCTGGAGGTGCTTCTGTTGAAGGGCAGGCCTCAAGATAAAGATGAAATGACCAGGCCTACAATCCCCAAGGGATAAGCAATGAACTATAACTGGTATCATCTGGTCCAATAAATGCTAGATACACATTAGTCACCCAGGTGGGTGCCCAAGACCTCCTGATCCATATCTTCCTAACCAGGTCTTTGTTCTTTCCATGTACACTTGCTACATGACCTGCTTCCCCATTGGATCAATCTTACCTAAGCAGCTTTATTTGTGATCTTATTGGTTAATCATAGGTTTGACCCACATTGTACCTAAACTCATGCTTTTGTACCCATTTCATAATTAAGCTCCATAGAACTTCCTCTGTGAATTGGGGTCCATGACAACCTCACTTTGGGTTCTCTCCTGTCTCTCAGGAAGTCTCTCTCTCAATAAAATTTTCCTACTCTTAATCTCCATTGTTTCTTAGATGTATTCTTTGATTTTGGGGAACACAAACTCAGCATATATGATATCTAATAGGATTGGGCGTTACATTTATTTCCACTATAGCACTATTACCATAAGGATGGATCTCAAAATAATTATGGTGAGTAGAACAAGTCAGTAAAACTAGCAGATATATGATTTCACTTATATAAAAGTTTAGACAATGCAAACTACAATGGCCCAATAGATTCATGGTTGCTTAAGGTTTGGGTTGACAGTCAGAAGGGGTTGGTAGGTGGGATATCCAACAGGCACCATGAAATTTTGGGAGATGATGGATGTGCATGTTATCTTAACTGATGTAATGGTTTCCTGGGTCACACTGTACATTTCACATATGAAAAGCATAGTATTTGCTGATTATATTACAATAAATAAAGACATTTCAGAATGATATTATCATATGCTTTATTTTGTTTAGTATTTTCTTAGTATAAATATCTCCATATTTCTCTTTTATTATTCCTATATTTAGGCATGTATTAGAAATAGTCTCAAGCTATATTTTAGAGCATACAATAGACTTAAGTACTTTTTAACTGTTACAGAAATAAATGTAAGTTGCTAATCTAAATATTTAATATAGTCTAAGTTCAGTTCATGTGCATTTAACACAATTGAGTTCATTTCTAATGTATTATTTTATTCTTTAATTTCTCCTATCTTTATTCCTCCACTCCTCCTTTACCCACTTTTTTAGTTTCTCCATTTGTATTAATTTTCAAATTTGCATTTTTTTAACTCTTCATTTTAACTTTTTCTCCTCTTCTAGTTCAGAAAGAGACATCATTTCATTGATTAACCTGGAAATTTTAACACAAAGATTTCAATTTAATTTGTCTAAAATGATGCAATATGTTTATCTCTCCTTAATACAAAAACCCTACTCCTGATGGTTTGTTTTCTTGTTATAATTTCACATTTTGTTTCGCTATGTGGACACACATAATGGAATTTTCAGAACACGGTGGCAGCATAGCTCCCAGCTTTTACATTTCAGCAGGGCAGACTTGTGGTTAAAGCTTCCCCAGGAAGGGCTCACTCCATACCCCACCCAGCTTCCTCAGAGCCAGAGCAATGGGCAAGTCTCTTGCTACAGGAGGAAGGGGTTCTTCTCCCTTGTTTAGTCCTCAAATGTATTCCCCTTCAGACGTCTCAGATTTATGGCTGGGTATTTATATCTGATCTCTCACTGTATTAAGGCACCAGGTTGAGCCTCCCAGCTCTCACATATATGGGTTTGGTATGTTTCTTATAAATTTTTAATTAACTAGAATTTTTGATAAGTCCTATAGTCTCCAAGCTTTCCAATTAATAGTGTGGTGACTGCAGATGCAACTTTGAGGTTTAGATTGCCTAGGGTCAAACCAAGGCACTACTCTTTATGACTGTGGCTTTGGGCAAATATTTAATTAAAATCTTTGTGCCTCAGTTTCCTCACATGTAAAGGGAGGGATGACTATAGTACCTGCCTTGTGGAGTTAAAGGAGCACTAAATTAATTAATATATTTAAAGAGCTTAAGACAGTGCTTGGCATGTAATTAGAGCTCAAATATTAGCTGCTATTATAGCCGTTATTTTTATGCTTAAAGAAAATGTTTTAAGGTTATATTGTATACTATTCTACAAAGGGGTCATTGCCTTATAATATTGATATTCATAATAATTTTCAACTTTCAAGGGACCTTACAAAGCTTATTTATATCTCAATGTAAATAAATGATTTCTTCATTGACAAACTAGCCATCATTTGATGTCTAATGTGTTTATTTTTCTTCTTTTTAGAAAATACTATTCCTTGAATTTAGATCTTCAAAGCCTCATTTTCAATTGTAAATTATTTTTAAATGCTATTGGAATAGCAGATACTACTATGCAAAGAAATTTTTCCACCTAAATGTATGGCATAACATCTTGTTTTGTCAACAACTTGTTCATTTATTTCATCTAGAGTCAGAAAACATCAGCCTATACATACCAACTCCTGGAATAATCATTAATACACTAATATCACATGGGCTGGCATTTCTCCATGAATGACATTTCAGTGAAGTAAACTCTAAATCAAGTCTTTTCCCCAAACAACACATCATATTTCTTTAATACCTGGTGAATGAAGCTTGGTTGTGGCAGCTGCTATCCTCTTAGGAGATGAAACAGCAGGTTTACTAGCATCTTGATCTTTTTGTGCTTCTTTCTTTATTCCTATATGTAGTTTGAAAAGAGAAAAAGAAATAAAAGCTAGTTATAATCCAAATGGTAAGATAAACTGTGGAAGGGACAGCTTCAAAAAAGGCAAACAAAAAACAACAACAAAATATTTGGATGGTTTGTCGTTATGGTCATCACACCCTCAGCTGAGAAATGACACATTTATTTTTTTATAGTAAAGGGAACTTAGTTTTAAGTGGTCAGGGGAATAAGCACTGGGCTGTCTCTGGTTTGATGAAAAACCCTCCCTTCTCTGCCACCTCAGTGACCCTCACAAAGTATGTAGGAATTAAAATTTTATAGCCCTTAGCTACCAATGGGGTCTGGCTGCCTCTCTCTCCAAAACAATTTTTCAGAAGACAGGGAAGGAAGCTGCAGCTGAACATATACTGCTAATGACTTTAGCATCATCCTGAGCTGAGCCCCAGGGCATACGGTCTGACTCTAATTTCCATGCAGCTGGTTACAGGAGTGACCTGGAGAGTCTGCTCATCCTCTCAGCTGCAGCTGAGCCTTCGTGGAAGCTACTGCCAGAGCTGGCACTGCAGAAGGCATAACCCAAGTGTGGGCTGTATCTAGGAACAGCATGTGGATGCCCCTCTAGTGATGTCTGGTGGCACACAGGGTACCGTGTGGCATCTCCCTTGAGTGCTGGGCATAACAGTCACCTTCTCATCACTTTCCCTGGAAAGTCAAACAGCAGTGGGTAGAAGATTAGAGAAACCACACTGACCAAGACATCCCAGACTTGCCTCTGCCACCAGGTGCTGTTATGTCTCTTCGAAAACAAAGTTTGGGATGGTTTCTCAGAAAAAGAATGTGGATATTCCCCAAACCTGTGATCAAACTCTTCTTTCCAAGGGTAGCTACTTTTAATAATTTGATGATTAATCTCCCAAATATTTTTCTAGGTATTTATAAGTACATACACATATTCAAATAGTTATTAGTTAAATAAATAACCAAATACTGTCATTTCTTTCAACCTGCACATATTTGGGGATAACTTTTCTAATCAGTTAATTCACAGTCTTTTGAAATTGCCACATTGTATTACTAGGCAGTGATATACCATATTTCCTTTTACCATCCTCTGATGGATGAACGTTGAGATTTTTTACAAGTTTTAGCTATTAAAATAGCTAAATATACTAAAAAAGGTATTCTTCTACTTTTATATCTGTCACATGTACCAGCATCTTTAGAGAACAAAAGGATAGCTGCATTTCCGATGGGTTATGAATTTGTTCATTTTTCAGTTGCTTAGACAGAGTTCAAATTGTCCACCCAAAAGAACTGATTCATGTTCCCAGTTGGCAATGTATGAAACACTTCTTTTTACATGCCCATGCTCTACTGACTCTGATGTCACAATCATACTTTTTGCCAGACACCAAAAATGCATTTTGTTCTTTGAAGCCACTTAAATAAAAACAGTTAAATGGGCATGAGCTTTTCTTATTGATATGTAATAGCTCTTCATTTGTTCTGGATATCAGGTCCTTTTCTTGATAATTTCTTTGTCATAAATTATATTTTCCAGTATTCCATTAAAAAACTTACAGTATCTTTCATTATCATTTTTAAATTTTATGCCCCCAAATGTTGATTTTTCCTTTCACAGCTTTAAAAGCATTGTTACAAATGTATATGCATGTGAACAGGATATGCATAGCAGGTGAGCTGAGGCAGTTAGGTCTCACAGATGGCTGCAACTTCACAGTCTTCTAAGCCCAGCTACCTCTCTGGTCCACCAAAGTCACAAGTACTCTCAAGGTTCCCATTATATGGCTAATCTCACCCTTCTATTTCTTCTGTTTTGATTTTAGGTCTTAACAAAAGTGGAAAGGTACTGACTCTTGGGAACTGGGAAGAGAAATTTTTGCGGGGGGTCGGGGTTGAGACAGAGTCTCACTATGTAGTTAAGACCGACCTGGAACTCACTATGTAGCCCAGGCTGGTCTCAAACTCACAGTGATCCTCCTGCCTCAGCCTCCTCAGTGCTGGGATTACAGACGTGAATCACCATGCCCAGCTTCCAAGAAACATTAAAGACAAAAAAATTCACCAAACATGTTTTCTATTTCAAAGGAAATCTAAACATGAATATTTATGTAGCCTTTCAGAGTTTTCTACACAGCTTGAATGGAGTACAATTTGCAGTCTCAATCAGAAACTTAAATATTGATAGCTCTGATCTTTCAATCCCATTTGTACACATCTCTCTTTGGAACACTTCCACAAGGGTACAAAGACATAAACTCATAGACACATTACAATAGAGATGTGTAAATAATCCAAATGCACATCAGGGAATGGTTAAACATATTATGCTGTAATCAAACCATGAAGTATTATTTGCAGTTAAAAAGAACGAGATGGGTCTATATCGCATGAGCATGCAATATAATAAGAAGAAAAAAACTAGTTTTTTAACAGTATGATATTATCTCATATTTATAGTGCAAAATATCTATATTGGATTACAAATATATGAAATATCTGAAAGACAAATATCAAATTTTTAATAATGGTTACTTCTGATAGTAGGATTGAAGGGCTTTTACCATTTGTTTTAATGTGCTGCTGTATTATTTATATTTTTCTGATATTACTCATTACTTGTATGATAAGAAATAAAAACAATAAAAGCAGAAAAACCAAAACTAAAATGAAAATAATTTGTCTGACCGTGAAAAGATAGGAGACACCAATCAAGTCTAATCCCAGAAGAATAATTGGATTGAAAGTTTCACAGTATCTCTGCCAACAAACCTCCCTGAAAAACATAAAGCTGCCTGGGAGACTCATGTGGCTCTGGAATTCTTGACAGCCCAAAGAATTAGAGCAATTAGTCAAGAACTTTCCCTTCTCCTTGCAGCTTTTTTCAACCTAGATTCAGTGAGGCCAGGGTATAGCCCCTGTGCTCTGGTGGGACATTGGTGCAAATCCCAGAGTCCAATGAAGAACCTGAGGTCTGACAAGCACAGGCAGCAACAGAAGAAAATTATGCCTCCCTTAGAAACGATTTTCTCCTTCTTTAGTACACTTGTTTCACTGGGGCTTCAAGCTGATTGGACAGTGTCACCCACATGGGGGTGGGAATTTCACTCCCAGTTTGCTGACCCACCTGCCAATATTTTCTGGAAACACACACACACGCGCATGCACGCATGTATACCAGAAATGTGCTGTACCAGTGCTCCAGGAATCTCTCAGTCCAGTCAGGTCGACTCCTCAAATTAACCATCACAATCATCCCTAGGTAGGAAAAGCTTTTCTGAGGAAGAAACTGACAGAGGGAAAAGAAGAGCCCAGGAATTGGAACAGCACTGAGGATACCCCTGCTGAGCTCCTGGGTCCCAGTGTACCCCCCACTAGCATACTGCTGAAAGTCTCAGTTGTGTGAACCAACATCTCTATGCCCATGGTAGTCTGAATTAGGTTTCTGAAACACTGAACTAATGGAGACCTAAGTTATATAATGCCAGCTGAACAAATAGCTGCTAAATAAATACACTCAATTAAATAAATACAACCCAACTCTTACAGGTTATATATTGGTTTAAAATACTCCTGTATTTTATCTAGGCTGAGACGGAGAACCAAATAAGTACACTGGGGCTTCTGGCATGGGAAGAAAGCAGCAGTGGGAAGGGATGAAATGCCAGCCTCAGGATGGTCTCAGAAAGTTTTATTTGAAATATTGTCATTGACTTATTCACCTGATGCAGACAAATTTCTGCACACCAAAATGGTCTTAAAATGTTTTATGCAAAAAAGAAATGTGTGCAGCTCACAGGCCTACAGCAAAAGATATTACCTGCCTAGTAACCCATGAATAGCTACCCAGAAAAAGGGAAAAGCAGGCCCAAAGATCAGTCTCCCCCACCAGGGCTTCCACAGCGATACAAGTGGCTCTGACAACAGTGGGCAGAGGCAGCGTTTGCATTCTGTTAATGAATTGGCCATTGCAAAAGTGACTTAACCTGTTCTTGAGTGATGCCTCAAATAAGGATCAAATGCAGGGGAGCTGCAAGAACGTGGCAGGGTACAAAAGCCTGAGTCCACACAAAAGCAAGGGCTTTTTCTGAGGATGAGGCTGCCCTCCAAAAAAGGAAAAAATAAATGACAAGTGGCATTAGCTAATGATATTAGCTAATGTAGATTCCTTACTGAACACATCTAAATAAAAATGCCTAAGATAATGGTTAAAAGAATGCTATGCTATGTATTTTTTAATGAAAAGAAATAAGCACATCAAAAAATCAGGAGAAATTTTCATTAGCTCTTAAATTGATATATTATAGGCTGAAAATCCCAGTAGGTAAATATTCTTATAAAGTAAAAAAATCAGAAGCAAAAAAGGATAAAGAAATATACTCTGCAATGGACTTTATCATCCACCCATCTAACTTTCTCCTTTCATGCACCAGGAAAAGCAGAGGTAAGGTGGAGAATCTGTCCTCCAGCCTGAAAGATCTGCTCCTAGGTAAACAACAGGAAAACTGAGGGAGAAGAGCAAGGAGAACAAAATGTGCACATAGTACAATGCAGGGGATTCATGTCATAGCCGTGTATCTGGAAGGAGGTATACAGAAACAAAAGAATGATGTAATCAGGAAACACAGATTTTGATGCCACTTACAAGACAAACTGAATGGGAAGACATTTCATAGTAAGATATTTAAGGATTGAGTAGAATGCAGAAAGAAATTACCTAGGTAAGCATATATCAAATAAAAGAGAAACTTGAATGAGTTATGAGGGGCAGAGAGAGAGAGAGAGAGAGAGAGAGAGAGAGAGAGAGGAGTGTTGTCAGGTGCAAGGATAAGGGGAGGAATAGATAGTTTGAGATGCCAGTAGTAACTTTTTAAAAACTCCATCAAAAAGAACATCTGATTTTTGGGATAACAGAATTAAAAAGGGAATCACATAAATATATTGGGGTACATTTGAGAGGATACTTGACTTTTACTAATTAAGGTTTATTT